GCCTCCTGATATCTAGCCTAAATCTACCCTCTACCAGCTTGTGACCGTTATTCCTGGTCACTCCTGGCAGTGCTCGGGGAAACAGGGGCTTCCCCAGTGCCTGCTGATCCCCCCTGACTAGTTTGTAACAGGCCACTAGATCCCCCCTCAGCCTTCTCTTGTGGAGGCTGAACAGGTTCAGGTCCCGTAGCCTCTCCTCGTAGGGTCTGCCCTGCTGCCCCCTGATCATGCGAGTGGCCCTCCTCTGGACCCTCTCCATGTTGTCCACATCCCTCTTGAAGTGCGGTGCCCAGAACTGGACGCAGTACTCCAGCTGTGGCCTGACCAGTGCCGCATAGAGGGGGAGGATCACCTCCTTGGACCTGCTCGAGATGCATCTGTGGATGCATGACAAGGTGCGGTTGGCCTTCCTGACTGCATCCCCACACTGCTGGCCCATGTTCATCTTGGCATCAATGATGACTCCAAGATCCTTTTCTGCCTCTGTACTGATAAGAAGGGAGTTCCCCAGCCTGTAGGTATGCTGCTGGTTCTTCCTCCCCAGGTGCATCACCTTGCACTTGTCGGTGTTGAATCCCATCCTATTCTCATCCGCCCACCCCTGTAACCTGTCTAGGTCCGATTGCAGCCTATTCCTCCCTTCTAGCGTGCCCACATCCCCCCACATCTTAGTGTCATCAGCAAATTTGAACAGGGTGCTTTTTACCCCCTCGTCCAAGTCACTGATGAAGATGTTGAACAGTGCGGGCCCGAGGACCGAGCCCTGGGGGACCCCACTGCCCACATCCCTCCAGGTCGAAAATGACCCATCCACCACCACTCTCTGGGTGCGGCCCTCCAGCCAGTTGGTGACCCATTTGACTGTGTGGGTGTCGACACCACAGTCCCCCAGTTTCTTAATGAGAACAGGGTGAGAGACAGTGTCGAAGGCCTTCCGAAAGTCCAGAAAGACTATGTCCACTGCTACCCCTGCATCTAAGGATTTGGTGACCTGGTCGTAGAAGGCCACCAGGTTGGTCTGACAGGACCTGCCTCTAATGAACCCGTGTTGGTTGCCCCTAAGCATAATCTCCCCTGCTGGCCCCTCGTGGACATGTGCCAGAATAATTCTCTCAAAAAGCTTACCCAGGATTGAGGTAAGACTAATTGGCCTATAGTTTCCTGGGTCCTCCTTCCTCCCTTTTTTGAAGATGGGAACCACATTGGTTCTCTTCCAGTCCTCTGGTACCACACCAGAGCACCATGAGTGCTCGTAAAGCCGTGCCAGGGGTCCCGCAATGACCTCAGCTAATTCCCTCAGCACTCTGGGGTAGAGATCGTCCGGACCAGTTGATTTAAATATGTCCAGTCCCTCCAGAAGTTCCCTGATTAGATCCTCATTGACCCTTGGCCTAGGTGCGTCTTCCCTGGGGCCTGAGGGGGGTCCAGTGGGGGGGCTGATTTGGTCCCTGCTTAGGAAAATGGAGGCAAAGAAGTCGTTAAATAGGTTAGCTTTGTCATCTGGTGTGACGACCAAATTTTCTAGCGTGTGTTGCAGGGGCCCCACATTACCCGGTACCTTCTTTGTGCTCCCTATGTATTTAAAAAAGGTCTTCTTGTTGTCCTTGATCCGGGTAGCTAGTCCCAGTTCCGTCTCCGCCTTGGCCTTCCTGACTGCCCCCCTGCATCTCGGAGCAATTGCAGTATAGTCCTCCTTGGTGATGGCCCCTCCCTTCCATTGGGTGTACGCCTCCCCTTTAGCTAGAAGATGCTGATTTGGAGAATCAGTGATTCAGCCACAGACACAGCCTTAAATGTTTGTCTACATACCTGCAGGTACCAGGCATGGCTCATGAATGCTGCGATACTGGGGCGGATGGAGCATCCCACAGAAGTGTGCTCCTCCCTTCCCCCCGCCCTGCATGCTTGGTGGTGAACTCAGAAGTGGACCGGAAGAACTTCCAGGTCTGCTGGGAAGCACACTGGCCCCGCCCCCCCGTGTACCCCCCAGCTTGGTGATCAGCCAGGGGAGGACCCCAGGTGCCCCCCCAGACCCCAGAGGCACCAGTTGCCAAGCTAGGCGGAGTGCAGAGGGGCTCCCCAGTGCACTCCCTGGCAGACCCGGAAGTGGATTGGAAGTACTTCTGGTTCAATTCCAGGTCTGCTGCTGAGCATGTTTATGACCCCCCCATGCTTTTGTGGGATGCTCCATCTGCCCCAGCATCACAACATTCATGAGCTGCCTGCTATCTAGAGGTATGCAGAAAAAACATTTAAAGCTGTGCCTTCGTCTGAATCGCCAACTCTTTCCAAATTGATTTGGAGGGTTCCAATTCGATGTGGAGAGATTAAAGAGTCTCCTGATTCAATTCAGATTCAGAGATTTGGCCACCAAAGCAAGCCAAATCTCTGCTGAATTGAATCAGTGACTGAAGGTTCACACAGCTGTAGTAAACAAGTTGGAGACAGTCTAGCATAGAGCAATGAAAGTGGTTCAGGGATGGGGCACATGACTTCTGAGGACAGGCTGAGAGAACTGGGCTTATTTAGTCTTCAGAAGAGAAGATTTGATTTGATAGCAGCCTTTAACTATCTGAAGGGTGGTTCCAAAGAGGATGGAACTAGGCTGTTATCAGTTGTGGTAGATGACAGAATAAGGAGCAATGGTCTCAAGTTGCAGCAACAGTAGTTTAGGCTGGATGTTAATAAACATTTTCTCACTAGGAAGCTGGTGAAGCACTGGAGTGGGTTACCTAGAAAGGTGATTGAACCTCCATCCTTGGAAGTTTTTAAGGCCTGGTTCGATAAAGCCCTGGCTGGAATGATCTACTTGGGGATGGTGCTGCTTTGAGCAGGCAGTTGGACTAGATGACCTCCTGAGGTCCCTTCCAACCCTAATTTTCTATGATTCTTTAGGCTTGCCACATCTTACCCTTCCTGGGAGATGAATTAGGCTGGATGGGGTTGAAACTGAGCAGCCAATAAGGCAAGATTCATGGTACCAGAAAGAGAGTGAGCAAAAGGGTGTGTGTTATCTCCCAGTGATAAGAGAACTCCCTTTGGAGAGGGAAGTCTAGGGTTCTGATCCCTGCTTCCAGGGGCATTTTAGCATACAAAGTCATTGGTTATAACATGCAACTAATCCTGGCAGCAGGGACACTATAATTTAGAGTTACAATCATGGTTTTTGCTTTCTTTTTTCTCACCCCTTGGTCCTGGTACTCTTTGCTGTCCACTGGTCTAGCATCAATAAGAGGCACAGAGCCTCTTTGATAGTATGGCAAAGTTAGGACATTCTCCTGGGACATGGGAAATATAAGTCTCCCGTTTCCTGGACAAGGCTCTAACCACTAAGATATTGGACAAAGGTGAATAACTATTCACTGTTGTGATTTTTGAGCAGCATTCGCTGCTGTCAATGCAAGTTAAGCGTATTCAAGCTTTATCCACTGGCAGACATCTCTCCAAAGGTTTAGCAACAGTATGAATTCCAAAAGAGCTCAGACAAGCATTAGGGACATTAGGGATCATGGTACATCTGGCAGTACCATCTGCAATACTTTCAAACATTCATAGAAGCTTTAATATAAGCATGTTGGGAGCTGAAGGGAAAATAAAGGTGTCTAATGATTTTTGTGGGTGGTGGAGCAGGGCTGATTTAAATCTGTCTTTGGAACTTCAGTGACTAAACACTAAGGTGCTATTGAGGTACTTAACAAATCAAATTGAATTTGGCCCTTACACTGTTAGTCTGGAGCCAGATAAACTGAACTGGTTCAGCCAACATGAAAGATATTGGATAAAGCCTTTAGGGCTTATCCCAAGAAGCAGGGAGCACTTGTAGTCCTTATTTACTCCAACTGGGAGGTTATTAACTACTCTGCACCATAAAAAGTACAGTGTGAATAAAAACACATAATCATCTTTGTAAAACATATCAAAATGTTTTGATAAAACATTCTGCCCAATTCCTTATGATATCATTTTTCATTGTGATAGATTTAATTGTGATAGATTTAGTTCACAATTGCCCCTGCAAGTGCAGGAATAGACAGGATATTCTGACTGATGAAGGCAGCCTTAATTTCCACATGAGCCTACTCCACAGGTTGCCTTGGGGATGAGTTGAATCAGCTCAGTCTACAACAGTTTTCACTGTGGCTTACACCTCTCTGCAGCACCCACTGTGGGAACTTTGTGGTGAGACCACAGGACAAGAGAAAGTTTTAGGTTGCCAAGCAGTTCCCTCCCAAACACTGCCTGCTATCATGGGACTTCCATATGGTGAACCTAGCAATTTGCCTCGAAGTGCAGATGCAAACACACACATACACGTGTACTTTCCTAAGGAGTTGGAAAACTGAGTGTGCATTGGAATCCATAAGGAGGCAACTCTAGAACTGAAAGAGCAAGGACCATGTATGTAAACAGCCATAATAAAGTAACAGGGGATGACTATTTTTAATTTTATGTAAATCCATTTATAATGTATAAAACCTCAGAGAAAATAAAAATTCTAACTGTGTTATGGTGACAAGATTATGTGAACTCAAGACACTTGTTAATTCCTAAATCCTTTTTTTTCACCCACACTGAAAGGTATTAGGTATTTGACATTTAGAATATGGTGTACATTAAGAAGGACTGTCCATTTAGACAACTTTTCTCTTTTTCACTTGGGTGCAGAGGGATCCTCTGTTACTTCTTCAGTTTTACTAAAAAATTTATTCCAGCAACTAAATTGGAATATCTTATCAAAAACAAAATTATATTGGTTAATGGTTTAATTTTACTTCATTTGCCTAACCATTTAATTTTATTTACTTAAGTTTACTTAAGCTTACAAGAAACTATGAAACAGAAAACCAGAGTAGGAGCTATAAACCAAATACAATTACATTTGAATTAACAAGCTAGAATTAGCTAAATGATTTCTTGTTCTTTTAAATCACTCTGTATGCAAACTCCTTAAATCGGTTTCCCCACCTCCATAGTGACACACACCACTACATTCTACATACTGGGAATTTGCTGAATCCTATGCACCACCACAAACGCATCCGAGAGTCCCACTTTCACTGGGTGGTTGGCTGAACTTATCTGTGTCACTGAGACAGGAATCTGGAAGACAAAATAGATTGATGCAAATTTAATCGTAAAATTTACATCAACAAATTCATCTAAAAATAACAGAACAACCTGAATTAATGTAATAGTGGTCCTCAACACATAAATCAGAAATTCTAATGAAACATGTTGTAAGAAGGATACAAAATGACTGAAAAAGTTTCAATGCAGCCTGAAAAAAATTGCTTTTAGTTTTATTTTATCCCAGTATGATTTGCCTCTTCTCTATCAACATTTATATTATCACCTGGGTATGGTAAAAATAATGATACAGAAGAGGCAAGAGTATTCAATAAATGTGTCTGTTCTTTATTTGGAAAGAAATAGAATGATAGGCTTGTACCATATGAGAAGGACGACAGAGTACCTTCCCAATCCATCAGTATTCAATTCTCTATCAAGCGAAATTTTATTATTTTAAATCAGCAGGTCCAGATAACTGGCACCGAGGAGTGAGTAAAGAGATATCTGAGGAGCTCTCTAGCTTGCTGATGTTCATCTTGAAATAATGAGGAAATTCCAGATGCCTGAAAGAGTGCTAATCAGAGAAATCATAGAGAAGTAGGGCTGGAAGGGACCTCAAGAGGTCATCTTGTCCAACCCCCTGCCTGAGGCAGGAAAGGTCCTGTGCCCCATAGAGGGATCAAACCTGCAACCTTGGTGTAAGTAGATAATTACCAATACCCAAAAGGATAAGAAGGAAGACTCAGACAACTATAGGACAATTAGGTTAACATCAGTCCTGGGCAAAATAATTAAGAAGCTGGTTCAATTGGATACAACTGATAAAGTACAGGATAGGATTATAATTAAAACCAGTTGATATAATATATACTAAAAAGATCTTGTTGAGAAAACCTGATTTCATTTTTTTAAGAGACTGCAAATTTAGCTAATAGCAGGCACTGTATAAATGTAGTCGTTTTAGACTTTTGTAAGTTGTGTGACTTAGTACCATGGGATATTCTGAGATATACAATATACAGTGTCATTAAAGCAACAGAGGTGTAACAAGCAGTTTTTGTGCCTTGGTAGTCAGCACAGTGGCAGCAATCAGGCTAACAGTGGTGGCAGCCACCAATATTGTGCCCCTTCTGTTGATACCAAGAGAAGTGTCCTGCTTGCGCATCCTTAGTTATACTACTATAAGGTTACAGACACACATACATTTGAAGCCATTTCAAAAGAACAATGGCTATTACATTTTAATTGTTTCATATGGACAAACTGGGAACAATGCAAATGTAGCAAAACCTCTATAACTTGAGTTGGTGCAGGCTTCCTACATTTTTTAACAGTAGCAGCTTGTCCACATGTAGCCAATGAAATGTTATGTTTGCTGCCCTTTTGAAACATTCCTCTTTTGAAATAACTCCAAATCTATGAGCATCTGTATGCTAAAGCGCACACTGAATAGATAACAACTAGCTAAGTGACTGATCTCAAAAAGTAGTCATCCGTGACCTTTGGAGGTATCAACAAGACAGTAAAGAGCAAAGGATTGCTATACTTCTGTATACAGCATGAATCAGATGAATACCACAATATTTCATACAGTTTACAGTTCTGGTGTCCAAAATTTCAACACCTTTTAAAAATGTGAGGAGGATACCAAAAGGAACCACAAAGAATATTCAGTGGCTGGAGAAAATAGCTTATGAGAGACCTAAGGGCCTTGATTCACATAGGTTATGAGACAGAAGACTAAGAGATTACTTGACTATAGAATTAAAGTATTGTCACTGAAAGAAAATACCAGGCATCTAGGCCAGGTACAGACATTACACATAATCCAGTATAAGTGGCTGAAAACCAGTCTAAACCTGTAACAGTACAGAAGGTTAGCATGCATAGACTGGTTTAAATTGGAAGAACCTGGTCTAAGACAGACTTGAATGAATGTAATATCACACTGAAGTGATTTAGATTAGATTGGTCTACTGAACTTCTGAACTAGGCTGCCACTACATGGACCTGGCACGTCCAGACCTGAGTCAGCATAGCTGGGAGCCCTGCATGGTAGGGGACTCTGCTCTCCCCATTCCCAGACAGATGGCTGCTGGCAGGCGGTAGGGCTGAGGGGTATACTGGCCAGCCAGGCCAGGCAGTGTAGGGGTGAAGCCCCCCCCTGCCAGCCATGCTGGCTCAGGTGGAATCATAACAGCTTATATCTGTATCGTTGAACAGGGATGCAGTTGTTATGTCTGTACCCTGCCAGGGAGAATTCCAGCTTGTTACATCACTGTCTGCCTGTCAGTCTGTCTACTGACCAATGCTCTTGTAGTATATCCAGGACCTGCAGTATTTGACTGCCTACTGCCCCTCCCCTCCCCCCAGTTTTCCCTTTTGCCAAAATGAGATTTCAGCTATATGATTTTTTCCAGTTTACTTGGGGAAATAGGAATTCCATAAAGCTGGGGAAAATGTGAATTTTGAGAAATTAGGAATAGATTTCAAATATATGTGCTCTCCATAATCAGGCGAACTTGCACTTGTTTAACTGAGTTAATTTAGACCTTGTTACATATATAATTTGCCTAATGTTACAACAATTTAGCTAAACTGGAGCAACTTTGTTATACAGATATTCTTCTCTCAGACAAAAACAGCACCCAGTCTAAAAGAAACTTATTCACTTGGCTCAACTGATATTATTTATGTTTGTGCATGTCAAATGGCAACCAGAGAGACAATTTGCTTCAAGAATAAGTGATGTCAGGTTACACATAAAATAATACTTACCTTTACTGGTAAGTACAAAACAGGAAGATGGAACCAAGGTCTCTTTCAAAATCAGGCTCTTTGATTTTCAGTCTAATATCTTATCATTTGTTCTTTTGAATACATGAATAACTTGAGTCATTTGTTTCTTTTCTTGGAAATTAGGACAAGATTACATTCACATCTTTTAGCAAGGAGTGATGGCCTTTTGTGTATGATTTTCCCAACTTGTTTTTCTTTTGTTTTAAAATAACAAGGTTCAGAGCTTTAAAGGCACTTTCAGTTTCATAATATAATAAACAACATGAATGACTCATTTTGTGTCATATACTGTTATCTGATACTAAAATAGAAGACTGGTTCCAAGTAGAATGGAAAATACAAATAAAACCTTCTGCAAAAAAGTACAAAGCTTTGGAGCACAAATATTTCCACAGATTTTACCAAATTTTCTGCAGATGTTTGCTTTCCTGTGCTTATCATCATAATGAGACTAAAGCATTACAAGGACAAAGAAGCCAACCTCCTAAAACACAGAGCCAAGAAGCTGGCTTAAATAAAATTACATTTTTCTAATAATGTTCTCAGATCAAGTTCATCAGTTGGACAGCCCTGGCCAAAATCAAACAGTTATCCTTACAAAAGCATGCTGCAGTTGAACTAAAAATGCTGTACATATGAAAGAATAATCAAAGGAAAGCCTCTTTTCTTCTTTGGAAAACTACTGGCATTATTAAATATGCATATTCGCATTGTATATTTCCTGTGTGGGAAGTACTTATTTTAAAGAACACAATATTTTGGTATTTAGGAATCTATTAGTATGAATTACATTTTATAGATTAAACATTTTCTTAGCAAGCTTCCAGGATGCCCTCTGTATAATAGCAAAAACCAGATCACAAAAGCTTTCATTTACAATAAAAAAGTGAAATGGGACATTGATGACTACAGTCATATATAGGCAATAGTAACCACTTTCTATTGCATTGCATTTCTCTTTTGGAAAGTTAGCATAGGTACTTTATAGCCAAGACAGTCTGAGTATTCAATTACAGTTAGTGACTTTGACATAACTGTTGTCAACAAGGAGTGACAGGAGCATTGTGGGACAATATTTGTAGGACAATTAAAGAAAAAAACCCCTAAAAGCTATTTTATCCTTCATCTCAGCTAATCTAAAACAATCTGTTTTATAAGTGGCCGGATTGTGAATTAATTTTCTAAAAAGTACATTATCCTTAGGACATTTATATGCCATAATGACTAATGAAGACAATGTTGAAGAATGAAGAATGAGATCTAGAAAACATGCCATTTGCAATACACGATTCAAAGCCCTGAGTTAATCTGCAGCACTGGGCTCAGTTGCAAATATAAAACAATCCAAAATAAACATTCCCCAGCATAGGTTAGTTCTCACCCTGTAGTCTTTCTTTAAGGAGTCCTTCTACTTCAAGCAAACATTTCCACCTCTTCATCCTTTCCTCTCACTTCCTCTCCCTGTCCTTTTATATCTAGTCTGCCAGTCAACTTTCCCACATTACTGTTGATTGCCTGCCAGCTGAGGCCCCTTACATGGGTGGCTTGTTGTCAGCTAGCTAACTGATCCTGGCTGCCAGCATGCAGCCCATTACATTGTCTTATACGTGGGTGCAAAGATGACTGACGAGGCTATCTCAGGGTCAACAGACCCTGCTGCAACTTAGGCATGTGTTTCCATGTGGGGTGATTGGCTCTCGATTCTTGATTCAGTCCATAACACACTGTTTCTGCTGCTCCTGCTTTTCCATTTCCTGTTCTCATCATAAGGCTTCAAAGTACGGAGATCCTTTCAGCAGACTCTTCCTCCATTTGGGGCAGTCCTGGGCGACAGTCTCCCACAGGTTGATACTGATGTTGCATTTTTTCAAGTTGGCTTTGAAAATACCCTTCAAGCATTTTCTCTGTCCTCCTCTTCAGCATATACCTTAGTTTCATAGTTTCTAGGGTTGGAAGGGACCTGAGTAAATCATCTAGTCCGACCCCTTGCCATGGCAGAAAAGATTACTGGGGTCAAACGACCCCCAGCAAGGTGTTCATCTAACCTCCTCTTAAAGACCCCCAGGGTAGGAGCCAGCACCACTTCTCTTGGAAGTTGGTTCCAGATCCTAGCCGCCCTGACCGTGAAGTAGCGCCTTCTGATATCTAGCCTAAATCTACCCTCTACCAGCTTGTGACCGTTATTCCTGGCCATTCCTGGCAGTGCTCGGGGGAACAGGGGCTTCCCCAGT